TTATGAATATTTAGAGGAGTTACAAACGGAATGACAAAGCTAATATACCTTCCATAGAATGGTGGTGGATGGAATAAAAAGTAACAAAACTTGTTTGATTATATTAATAGATAACATATGCATAAAACGTTGTTAGTAATTTGTCTGAACTACACCTGTTTGAATTCATAGAAACATATGTTTTTTTTTTTTAATTTTTCTCTTAATTTGTTGCGTTTTTAAGAGCAAAAGAATCGACAATTCCCTTTTACTTTAGGTTTTTGGCGCCCAAACACACAAGAGCAATCGCACATATGATTTCACTTACGGAGTCCATTAATGGAGCTTTAAAAGAAATAAGAAATAAAGAGAGAGAAAACAGTTTAAACAGGCTCCCCAGAGAGTGAAGAGAATAACCACTAAATCACTTGAAGACATAAGAAAATGTCAAATTAATTCTTCTTTCGTTTTGTTTTCATTCTTCTTTTTTTTAATGGGGAGTAACAAAAAGTTGATTTTGTTCAAGTTGTTTCCAATTTGTTTGTGTTCTGAGAGAATAGCAACTATCTGTCAGTGAAGAGGTTAATTTTGCGGTCTTTTTTGTTTGGTTCTCATCAACTTAGAAGTCGTTTGTTTCAATCTTTGGCGTTTAGTCGAAATTTTGTCGGTGACGGTGGTGCGGTGAAAGAATTCCTTTCGTTCGTTTTGTTTTTTGCCAAAAGCGACTGAGGTTTTTTGTTACACTCTCGGTTCCACGTGGAGTAATTGTTTGAGATCGGTATCGTGTTTTAATTCCACGAATTTGATTTATTTTGAAGAAAAAGTTGAAATAATAATATAAGTGATTTATAAATACAAAAATTCTTAATAATTGTTTGAAATTTGTGATTTAATTTGAAAAGAAAGTTAACTAAATAGTTTCGCCATGCCACTTAAAAAGGCTCCAAGTGTACGTACCCATATTTATTTGTTGTTTATCATGTTCCTACCTCATGACAGTTAATCAGCGTCATCTCTCCCATCAACACTGCAATTTGATACACTGGAAGAACAAAAATATAAGTAAAATTTGTTCAGGGGGTACAATTTTGTCCAAAAAATGTAATATGTAAATCTAACATGAATGAATCTTTAAAAAAACATTAAACTAGAAGATGCCTATTTTAAAGTGAAATGTCTGTTCCAAAGCAGGGTTTTTATTTACAATTGTTCGTTGTGGGATGTAAAACTGTAGAAAACATAGAAACATTTGGGATGGGGGCTTACCTCTAGTTTAGCAAAAACTTTTCAACGCGAACCAAAATTTTCTAAATTTGATACTTTTTGTAAGTAGACAGCCTTCGGCCGGGGCTTGAGTTTTTCTCCTCAGGGTATATCCCACAATGGTCAACGGAACCAAAGTTTTCTAAATTTGATACTTTTGTAATTTCAACGCCAGCTATGCGAAATAAACATTTTTTATTATACCCTACAAAACTATGTGTTGGGGGTATTATACGTTTCATTGGGCCAAAAATTATGTAACACCTCGAAATATTGGTTTCCCACATAGGAAAGTATATATGGATCTTCCTAGCTCGCCGAGCAGAGTCGATCTAGCTATGTATGTCCGTCCCTCCGTCTGTCCATGTTAATTTGTAATCACTCTACAGGTCGCAATTATGGCCCGATCTTCACGAAATTTAGAATGGAGGTGGGGTCTGGGCCAGAATAGAACCCTATTGCTTTTGGAGATGATCGCATAACATTTAGGGGTTGAAATGGACCAAAAACTGAAAATTTAGAAGTTAGCATGGGGCTATAGCTTAGGGCTGGCCAGAAGTCTTCCAATTTTGATGGTCATCGGGTAATATTTAGTGGATGAAATAGACCATAGCTTAACCGCGAATATTTTTAATCCCGGCTTAATCACAAATGGACGAACAGGTCAATTCTGACCGTTACGTATATGCCGATAATAAATATATCGGATATATATAGCGAAATATATACAATGTATATATACAATGGAAAGGGATGTTAGCTAGAATGCATATATCTAAAGAACGGCTAAACTGATTTTCACAAATTTTGTCAATTCAGAATGCCCTCTTGGCATAAGAGAATAAAATCTAAAAAAATCGCATAGAAATGTGGCAATAATGGTGTTATTATAGATTTTGTAGTATTTTGTGAAATTTTTTATCGCATGCGATTTTTGACTTATAATATTGAAGTGTACATTTTGTAAAATTTTTTCACTTTACAACACGGGTTGAGATTATTATATACAGATTGCAATTATCGTCCGATCTTCACGAAAATTTTCACAAGGGTAGGGTTAGGCTCAGAAGAGCCATTGTTTTCAAGGATGACCGCAATATATTTAGGGGTTGAAATGGACCAACCACTAAAAATGTTTCTGATTTTGCAGCCGTTATAAGATCGCAAATAGAATCCAAAGGACACTAAATCTCGCATGTAGTTCGGGTTTAGGACAGCGGTTAGAATGGACCACTACTTTTGTGTGCAAAAAATGCCAACATTACTTACAAGCGATATCCCAAATACACAAAAGGCGAACTTCTGGCTTTTTATGCTGTTTTCGTTGATGAATATAGCCAAATATCGTAGTCAAGCAAATCATATATATGGGTCTAAATTTGAAGATGCATAGCGGCTTCTTGCTTTTGGAGATGATCGCAAAATATTAAGGGGCTCACATAAACCAAAAAATCCTGATCACACAATTGAAGCCAATCGACACCCCTGAGAAGAGAGTTAAGGATAGTGAAGAATTCTAGCTTTTTGGATGACCATTGGATTATATTTAGCTGTAAAATGGACCACAACAACTAACAGCACGTCGGAGTGCGCAAATTTCCCTGGTCAAAATGATAAGGGCAATTTCTGGGCAGTGCTCCATGACAAATTTTCAAAAGCGAAATCTTCCAAAATGGATTTGGACATAAGGGTGCTTCTAACATATAGTAGTGTTGTAGGGTATCTCATGGTCGGCCCCGCACGTCTATAGCCTTTGCTTACTTGTTGAAAACATAATTTTAATGAACTGGTTATAATCGGGTAATGCTGCTGGAAAGACCCATATCTCTGGACCCAGAAAAGGTTTTAGCACAAATTGTAGCATTTTGGAATGGTAAGCGTGTTAGTAACAATTTGGCATCAATTTGGTTGAGCTATTTTTCGACTTTTCCGGTTCCAAAAAATCAATAATTTGACTATTACTTCCGAACCGCTTAAAACTTACCCCATCATGTGACCACTTCTTGGATAGGGGTCCTGAACCCGGAATTTCGGGTCAAAAATCTGGGGTCCCGGGTCCGTCCCCCGAGAAAAAAATAGTTTTCCGGGATCAATCAAAACAATTTGATACTGAGTAAACAAGTAGTAATTCAAATACCAAATTTGATATTACATGTTTAGCCTGGACATATAGGGGACGTTTCGGGAATGTGTGCTATAATTGAACGAACAGTATTGAATGTAACAACATTTTATATTGGGTGAATGAATAGAGCTGAAATCCTGAAATTTGAATCTGTGATTGATAGATGGAATTGGTTTTGCATATGCGTACTATAATTGTTCTAAAATATATTTCTTTTGGTAATGAGGGGAAATTACAAAGATGGAATCATGAAACTTGATATGGATGTTAGTGTTTGTGGTTGCGAGAAGGATCTGGTTTTGGATATGCGTAATATAATTGTTCTAAATGGTACTAAATTTGGAACAGTTTGGCTTAGGGTGAACGGATGAAGCTGGAATTTTGAAAGCAGGTTTTGGAAATGTCAGCTATAATTGGTCGAAAAATAAAAGAGGTACTAAATTTGGTATGGGTTGAAGGGAAAGAGCCTAAATCGCAAATTTTGAAACTAAGGTCGCCGTTGATATCTTAGGTTGACATATGGAAATTGTTTTGAAAATACGTACTTTAACTGTACGAAAAAAACCTTAATGCTACCAAATTTGGTATTGGGAGAAGGAATAGAGATGGAATTCTGAAATTTGGTATCGACGTCAATATTGGTGTCTAGAGAGCAGAGAGGGAGATGGTTTTGGACAGGTGCAGTATAACTGTACGAATAGTATGATAATACATATGGAATTGGGTCTTAGTATTGAGCTGGAAATCTGAAATTTGATTGGAGGCCACTATTGGTATAAAGTTTTTAGAGAAAGAAAGAAGATGGATGAAGATACGTACTATAATTGTTCGAAATGTACTAAATGAAAAATTGGATGTGGAAACTTTTTTAAGTGAATTCCAATACGTTGAGATATACTTCGTGTCGTTTAGATCTGTGAACATTTAAAGTGATCTTTGGATTATCATAGAATTAAAAAGGAAAGGCTAATCCCTTATTAAAAAGGGTTTTTGACCATATTTTGAAAATGTACCGGAAATACCTCTCTGGTGACGCTTGAGGGTTAAAATTTTGGATAAAGAAAATCCACGTATTGTTATTTATAATATTAAACAAGAAGATATATACTTTAAGTATTCTAGGGAATCTTAACCCGAAAATTTCAACAAATTTTGATGAGGAAAAATTTTATCCTCCATTTAGGTTGATTTGCAATATAGACTTTCAAAACGCTAATACACTAGTCTTCCTTTATTAGTTCTACTTTCATTATCTTTTGATTTTTTCCTGTAATTATTGAAAAAAAAAAAAAAATAATTTTGTCGCCCTATGTTTTCATTTGATGGTGGAATGGAAAGTTCTCAAGTTATCACTAACTACACATTTTTCTCAGTGTAAATATACATTATTCACTTGTAGCCTCGCAGTCACTTCAATTTCGATAAATTCCGGTACACAAGCTAAATGAAGAGAGCAACGAGCGGCACATGTTATATCTTCTCTGACCTTAGGGAGGTTAAAATTCATATTTTATTTTTGTCAATATTGTTTATTATTTTATCTATCTATTGTTTTATTTTTTACTATCTGTAGTCGCTATATTTGTTGATAACACTGATTTTAATATTTTACTATTTTGTTTTTCGTTCACAGGGTCCCTCGTTTTTAAAACGTGCCAACACCGATAAATTACGAGAAGTCTTCCTTAAGTACGCCTCATACCAAAAGAATGATGAACATTTTATGACCAGTGAGGATTTTGTTCGCAAATTTTTGGGTCTATTCACAGATGTTGCATTTAATGATGTAAGTATTGCAAAACAGAAAAAATAAATAAAAAAAAAAAAAAAACGGACAAACAATTTGTCTGATGAAATTTAAATTAAAATAGATAAAACAATTTAAAGAAAAACGTAAGAGTTCCTATTTTGTTTACCAAATAAAAGATCACATGCAGAATCGATTTGTTTTGAATGGCACAGATCCAAAAGAAAACGAAAGCATGTTCACACCTCTTTTTGCTTTCATTTTCGATTTTACTTTTATTTCCGAGTCTCTTTTTTAAATAACCCATGGTAGAATTAACACGATAAAGTCATGCAATCATAATAATAAAAATTATTCATTTGACAACATCTTATAGTCAAAATTCATATTTATATACACAAAAATCAGAGATGGGTACCAGTGTTTTATTGAGTGAAATTTGATAAATTACAGAAAAAGCAGAGATGGATAGTATTTTTTAAAATTATTTTACCATTAAATAACTCTCAGAACTCTGCAAATGCAGCTCAAATTATACTGGGCTCTTAAAATGTGAAATTATTACTCTGAATTGAAACAAGACTGAAACAATTGGGGTTACATTTTGCGGAAGAGGTACCAGAAGAAGTGGAAAGTCACTCCCCATATCTGATGAGCAGAAATGTAGAAATGAGAAAAGCGCGAAGTGGGTCGAACATTGATTATTCAAAATGTATATCCATTGTGAGAGATATTTTACGATGTTCGAAGTTAGAAGGAATGCGGGTACACCCCGGATATATACTTCATTGACATTTTTGTAGCTTCGTTGGGAAGTTATCAGACGGAGATCCATGGTTTACACATGTTATGCGAGTTATATATATATTAAAAAGCGATATATTCCATTTTCACACTTGTTCTAATGCAGGCAAAAATATCGTTATAATTTCAACGAAGATCTTAATACTTTTACTTTTGTGGTCGGTGTCATGCATTCATGTTTCATCATTTATGTACTTTGAGTAATCCATTTCAATTCAATTCTTAAACAAACACATTTCCAAAACTAGTAAAAAAGCTGTAAGTTCGGTTAGGCCGAACTTTTTTTCTATCTTAGGCTGTAGTGTCCATTACGAACTTCAAATATTAAATTTAAAACAATTCCGGTCGCTAAATAATAATGTCGCTAAAATCATCAAAATACCGAATATCGGGAGGTACCATTATATGAGGGCTATACGAAGATGTGGACCTGCACAGACAAATTTTCTGTCTTAGGCTGTAGTATCCATTTCGAACTTCAAATACCAAATTTCAAAAAATTCCGATGAATATTGTCACTAAAATATTCAAAATACTGAATATCGGGAGGTACCGTTATATGGGGGCTAGGCTATACCTACATGGCACATTTTCAATGTCAAAAGTTCTGCAGACATAATACATATTTGAGTAAAATTTTATCAATCTACTTCAATTCGTTCGGAAGCTAGAGTGCTTTCCACAGACGGACACACGGACCAACATCACTAAGTCGACATAGAATTTTATGCTGATCAAGAGTATATATACTTTGTGAGGTCTAAAATGTATATTTTGAGGTGATACAAACGGAATGACAAACTTAATATACCCTTCATACTATGGTGGAGGATATAACAAGTAAGCAACGGCTATAGGCTTACGGGACCGACCATGTGATACCCTACAATATTACAATATGGTAGAAGTCCCCTTGTGTTTCATAGAGCACTGTCCAGATATTACCCTTAGTTACCCTATATGATTTACTTGTCTACGATATTTCGCTATATTCGGCGACGAAATCAGCGTAAAAAAGCCATAAGTTCGCCTTTTGTGTATTTTGGATTTCGCCAGTAAGTTATTTTTAGCGTTTTGGTAGAATTTAAATGTTGGTATTTTTTCACACAAAAGTAGTGGTTCATTCTACCTGCTGTTCAGAACTCTAACTTCATGCAAGATTTCGTGTCCTTTGGTTTATATTTGTAACCTTTAAAACGGCTGCAAAATCAGGAACATTTCTAGTTGTTCGTCCATTTCAACCCCTATATGTGTTGCGGACATCTTTAAGAACAACAGGCCTAGCCCTTCTGAGCCTAGCCATACCCTTGTGAAAATTTTCGTGAGGATCGGACGATGATTGCAATCTGTATATAATAACCCCAACCTGTGTTGTAAAGTGAAAAAATATTACAAAATGTATATTTTATTATAAAAACAAGTAAGCAAAGGCTACAGTCGAGCGGGACCGACCGTTGAATACCCTACAACACTATAATAAACGATACAGTTTATATAGGCGAGATACTCGAAAGAATTCCACAAGATATTGTGACAAATAATAAAAGAAAACAATCAGGTTTCGTTCTCTAATTTTCGAATAATAGCAACTTAAACTACAGACATTTGACTATATTCTTCAACGAAATCAGCGTTAACGAAATAGTCAGAAGTGCGTCTTTCCTGTATTTGTGAATTCTCCAAAAAGTCACTGGAATGGACATTTTCGTATTTTGTCTACAAAAGTTGGCAAACTCCTTCACACATTGAATATTTTTGGATGGCCATCCAAAACTGCTTGGCTTTTGCAATGTCCGGTAACCCCCATTCAAATGTGCGTGAAGACCGGGCGATAATTACGACCTACTGACAATTTTGCAGTTTTTTGGTCCATTTCAACCCCTAAATATATGGCGATCATCTCCAAAAAGAGTAGGCTTCTATTCTGACCCTCATCTTATCCCCATGCAAAATTGCATAAGGATCGGGCCATAAATGCGATCTGTATATGATATCTTGATATCCTAACTACTTAGTTTTGTTAGCTGTAGAAATATTACCAAATGTTTAATTCAAACTGAAAATATGCCAAAAATGTGACAAAATTGAAAAAATATGAGAAAATATTACAAAATGAATATTTTCATCTTTAGAGAGATATTTTATGCGATTTTTTAGACGTTTTTTCTTTCCTGCCAAGAGGCCATTCTGAATTAATGAGAACTGTCGAAATCAGTTGAGCCGTTCTCGACATATATGAGATCTTTCAAGCATATTTCCTTTGAAAGACATATATATCGCACATATTTTCCTATATATCCGATTTGTTGGATCTTAACATCAATGTAAAGATCAGAAGTAACCTTGTCATGGCTTTGTGATTTCCCCGGTATTTAAAACATTCGCGGTTTAATGAAAAATTTTGAATTTTTTCAACAAAAAAAAATACGGTCTATTTTACCCGCTAAATATTATCCGATGACCACCCAAATTGGTAGGCTTCTTCCCCGCCCTAAACTCTAGCTACATGCAATTCCGCGTCGATTGGTCTATAATTGCGACCTGTATAGCTACTGCAAAATCCGAATTTTTTTCAGTATTTGGTCCATTTTAGCCCCTAAACATTTGGCGATCATCACCAAAAGCAATAGGGTTCCATTCTGGTCCAAGCCCCACCTACATTCTAAATTTCGTGAAGATCGGGCCATAATTGCGACCTGTAGAGTGATTACAAATTAACATGGACAGACGGACAGACGGACGGACGGACATACATAGCTAGATCGACTCAGCTCGGCGAGCTAGGAAGATCCATATATACTTTCCTATGTGGGAAACCAATATTTCGAGGTGTTACATAATTTTTGGCCCAATCAAACTTATAATACCCCCAACACAAAGTGTTGTAGGGTATAAATATGAAAAAAAAAAAAAAAAAAAAAAAATATGTCACAAAATACGCAATTATGCTATTTTTTAGATTTTATACTTTTATGCCAAGGGGGCATTCTGAATTGACTAAATTTGTCAAAATCGATCCAGCCATTCAAGATATATGCATTCTAGCTAACATCTATTTTACCCGATGACCATTCAAATTGGAAGGCTTCTGCCCAGCCCTTATCTCTAGCCCCATGCTTACTTCCGCATCGATTGGTCTATAATTTCGACCTGTAGGGCAACTGCAAAATCAGGAAATTTTTCAGCTTTTGATCCATTTCAACCCCGAAATATTATGCGATCATCTCCAAAACCAATAGGCTTGTATTCTGACCATAACCCCACCTCAATTCATCAGGATCGGGCATAATTGCGACCTGTAGCGTGATAACTAATTAACATGGATAGATGGACGGATAGACATACATAGCTAGATCGACTCAGCTCGGCGAGATAGGAAGATCCATATATACTTTCCTATGTGGGAAACCAATATTTCGAGGTTTTACAATAAATCAATTTTTAGTAAATACTGAATATTATAAAAAATACCCAAATAATATACATTTGTAGTTCCAGCGATTTTACATCCAATCTAATATTTATGAAAACAACCAATTCTCATTTGATGTGATATAAAAACTACATATCTGAATTCGTAGAAATATCATATAATGCCATATAGTTATTTTATCATGCTATAATAAAAACGTTTTAACAATATCGATTAAGATCTTTATCCTCAAAAGGCATTTTTAACCTCTTTGATCTACTTTATTTTGCACAATGTTATCAGTTGTTATTATCCACAAATACAAAATAACTAAATTTTAGTGGTCCTATTTAGAAATAATAAATAATAGTGGCGGCGGCATTAAAATAATTCCCATTTATAGCTTATTAGTTTGACCTCTGAGGCCATGGTGAATAATTACCAACATCGGTTAACGTTTAGTTATAAAGCCACTATGTTGAAGATTGATGTATACTATGTTATTATAATAAATATTATGGTGATAATAATTATAATAACTATTGATATTTATTAATTATAATAATAATAATTTGCATATTAATTTTCAAATCGACATGGAATTGAAGTACGCTTACATACAAATATTTTTCCGGAAAATTTTAAGTATTCGGTTAGTAAATCAACACCAAAAAAGGGGTTACACTTTTTTTAGGGCTCATTATTTAAATTTGAGGAAGTAGTAGACATAGTCCAAATCTGGTACTTTGTGACATTTTTATAAGCTCCACCTAATATTCGATATTTTAATGACTTTAGAGATATTTTTTTACCGGAATTGTTTCAAATTTCGTATTTCAAGTTTGTAGTAGGCACTTCAGTCTATGACAAAGAATCTCGTATGATGAACTCCACGTCTTCGTATAGTCCACATATAACGGTACCCCCCTCTATCCGGTATTTTGAACTTTATTCGAAATTATTCATCGGAATTGTTTTAAACTTCGTACTTGAAGTTCGTAATTGGTACTACAGCCTATAAAAAATTTATAAGGGAATTTATAATATGTTTCTTGTCCATACTTCCCTATTTATGGGTCTCCAAAGTAGCCAAATCTGTGTGTATTCACATCAAGGATCATTTTTTTAATATAAACTTTCTTAATCTCCAGGCCTTCGGCCGGGGTTTAAAATTTGCCCCTCTAGATTTGTCGTAAAACTTTTAATTTAAATATGAAAATTGTCGACCTTGGAAATAAGGGTATATTTCCTTCGTCATTCCGTTTGTAACACCCCTAAATGTTCATTGTAAAGTATATATATTAATAATCAGCATAAAATTCTAAGTCGATTTAATGTCCATCCGTCTGTCCGTCTATCTGCCTGTTGAAGAGAGCGTCAAAAATTAGCAGAACAATTTTGAAGCCTAGGATGGTTGGTATTGGAAATAAGATATATCGTTTCACGTTCACGTTTTGGCATAGCCCCCATATAACGGTATCTTTCGATATTCGTACTTTGTTAATATTTGCCACATTTTTGATGGATTTGTCTTAAAAATTTGTTTTGGTATAGCCCCCTACAAGGATATCTCCCGATATTTGGTATCTTGATGATTTTTGCCACATTTTTTCACGGATTAGTCTAAAAATTGGAATTTGTTGGCCATGATGGCTTCTAGCTTCGGTGGCGAAACTTCATACATATAGGCCCACGTTTTGGTATAGCCCCCATATAACGGTACCTCCCGATATTCGGTATTTTTATGACTTTTCCCACATTTTCCCACGAATTTGTCAAAAAATTGGTAGCTCGTATGCCGAAACATTGTATGTATAGGTCCACATTTCGGTATAGCCTCCATATAAAAATACCTCCCGATATTAGGTGTATTGAAGATTTTTTCACATTTTTAACCAAATTTGTATTTGTAAATCGTAATGGGTTGTAGCTCGTGTTGCGAAACATTGTATGTGTAGGTCCACGTTTTGTTATAGCCCCCATATAACCGTACCTCCCGATATTTTGACGAAAATTGGTATTTTTAGTTCATAATGGGTTCTAGCGCGGTAGCAGAACATTGGATATTTAGTTCCACGTTTTCATATAGTGCACATATAACGGTATTCACCGATATTCGGTATTTTAATAATCTTAGTCACATTTACCAACATAATTATTTCAATTTTTTTATTTTAGAAGAAGTATACAATTGTCTATAGAGTTTTCCGTTTTGGTATTTCCCCATAGCACGGACTCGCTCACTTTACGGTTTTATAAGTTTAACTGCATTATGCAAAAGGTCTTACTGGTATATGAAGTTTAAAGTGAAACACGCTTAAATTCAGATACTTTTGTATAAAAATGTTTCCTTTACCCTAAGGTGGAGCGTATTTAAAGTTCGGCCCGGCCGAATTTCATTTTTTCTTATTTGTTTTAAGTTATATATAAGACTTTACCCTATAGACATATTTTTAACACCGACTACGCAACTAAATCTCCTTGTAAAACGTTAAGTTTTTTTTTTTTTTGGTAGCCAGTCTTTGTAATCAGGGGCGCTAGACCTTCACATTGCCTATGTTGGTCTTATAAAACGCTGGAAATACTCCAGACACTAAGGAACTTTAGACTTTTCAATTTTTGTGGAGAAGTTACAGTGGGCCGAAATTGTCCATCTTTGATTTTGAGCTAAGTCTATTAGCCCATTTAAAAATTAATACGATCGTTTCCTCATTTTGAGCGAACAAGCCAAACGGACGTCACTAGATTTACTGAGAATGTCCTGAAAAAGATTTCGTTCAATGAGACATAGGGTCTTAAAACGTTACTTAGGTTAGGTACAAATGTACAGTGGGGTAAAAATTAATATAACTCATTATTTGGTAATGAATTTATTTCACCCAAATTGGAACCCGGGCCCTTAAAATTACATAGACGCTGGCATGAGAAGTAACTCGATATCTATTTCGTTTGTAAGACGTGATAAATGCGGAGAGTATCCACCATTATATTAACTTATTAACTTTGTTATTCCGTTTGTAAGTCTTCGAAATATTTATAATAGACTCTACAAAGTATATGTATTCTGGATCAGCGAGAAATTATAAGACGATCTGTCTGACTGTCCGTCTGTCTGTTGTTAACAGACGGCTAAAATTTTGCATACATGCATAGTTTACCAGTAGCAGGTTAAGTTTGTAAATGGCCCATGTCGGTCCACGTTTTCGTATAGCCCCTATATAACGTTACCTCTCGATATTCGGTATTTTCATGATTTAAGCGACATTATTTACTGGAATTATTTCAAATTTCATATTTGAAGTTCGTAATGGGTGCTACAGCCTATAACAAAATTTTTGTATCGCCCCCATATGACGGCATCCTCCAATACTGGGCATTTTTATGATTTGTGCGACATTATTTACCGGAATTGTAACGAATTTCGTATTTGTATTCGTAAAGGCTGCTACACCCTATGACAAAAAAAAATCGTATGTAGCTTCACGTTTTCGTATATTCCCCATATAACGGTATATCCCGATATTCGGTATTTTGATGATTTTAGCGACATTATTCACGGGAATTGTTACGAATTTGGTATTTGATGTTCGTAATGGGTGCTACAGCCTATGGCAAAAAATTTCGTAAGCAGGTCCACGTCTTCGTATAGTCTCCATATAACAGTTTTCATTCAAGTGATAGTTTCCGGAAGATTTTTGAGATTTTTCAAGTTCCTTCCAAATGATATTAAAAGTTCGGCCCGGTCAAATTTAACTACTTTTTTACTTGTTGATGTTGTATGTGTATCTTATTACTTTTTAAGCCGATGTAGTTTACTACAATCAAATTAATTTTTTCGAGAATTAATGTACTGATAATTATGTCTAGCCGGATTGAAAGCAAAAAATATTGATTATACAATATTAAATTTCGATTTGTAGGTGTAGATAAGGAAATGTCAGTTTTTTTTTCACTGAGTGCATTTCACCGTTGCAATTTTATTTTGTTTCCAATAATGAAATTTTCAACGGATATTGTTGTTGTAATTGTGGGGGTTTTCTGTTGATAACACAAATTGCTTGGAATTCTGTAAATTCTTCCAAATACACCTATTTACAAAGTGTTTCTTTTCAACATGATATACGTCACACATTTAAATTCTCAACGATAAATAGGGTACCCCCTTGTAGACGACACAAAAGTCCCATTATCTTCCATCCCTAATCTAAGTCAATGACTGGGCTACATTCCGTATATTGGTCAGGCATTAGGTGCATGTCGATATCGCCAATCTTTAAATGATAACACACTATCATCGATTTTTATAACAGAAATAAACGCTCGTGCGAATTGTATCAATGGAATATGAATGAGAATCTAAAATGGCAACACTTGTCTGACCTTTAATCCGGATTGAAAGTCGTCGTCGACGTGCGTCCATAGTTTATAACTAAAAAGTACTAATTGTTATTGCTTTATTTGTCATAAAATATGAAATGAGCCTACAACAAATGTAATAGATGTTCCATCTACCATGAGGGGCATACTTATCAGTTGGATTTTCTAAAAGAAAGTAGTAGCAACATTGAAGGTCGTTTTCCTACCATTTGTTAATATAGGTCTAATGAGGTTAACATTATCAGTAATACCTATTTTTGTTTTCCATTCTTTTTTTCAGGAATCAGTGCGTTTATTAGCCGGTATCGCCGATACCAGTAAAGATGGTCTTATATCATTCTCAGAATTTCAAGCCTTCGAAGGTCTACTGTGCACACCAGACGCTCTATATAAAACAGCTTTTCAACTATTCGATCGCCAAGGAAATGGAACAGTGTCTTATGGTAAGTTATGGTAATATTTTCATAAATTTGTAATTATTAATGTATACAATCGTTATTTTAGCCGATTTTGCTGATGTCGTACAAAAAACTGAGCTACACTCAAAAATACCCTTCAGTTTAGACAGCCCTTTTATCAAAAGATATTTTGGTGAAGTGAGTATTGAGAAACTATTATATTTATACGATATTTTTATGTAAGTGCATACATATACATATGATAAAATATCTCTATGAAAGAAGACATTTATAGGTCTTTAAACACATTTTAGTGGCCTTGCATAGATTGCAGATCCCATAAAAGTCTTTTTTCATAGAATGCATTTTGTACTTTCTTTTTCTTGATATTTTATCTTTACAGGGTGAGATACAAAAACTGCAACAAAGACAAACGCCATAATTTTTACATTTTTTTTTAATTTTATTGAATGAAAGCAAAACATGTCGAAAATAGCATCAAATTTTAGAATAAGTTCAGATTTGTTCGAATTGATCACCTTTGGCACGAATTATGGCCTTCAAACTGCCAATAAAACCGGCCTTCGGACGGTATGGTGTCGATTGGAAACCTTTTCACTTTCCTTTATATGGAAAAGCATTTTTTCTGCTCAAGCAGACCAACAGACCTTTTATAAATAAAAAATAACGATCCCCTCTATGTAGAACCGTTTTTACGGTCTTGTATATAGAGTACACCTCTTGTACAGATAGTAAACCTTTCTACGGTCTTCCGTAGATATAAGAATTTACGGTCCTACGGTGGCAGCACACATTTTTGCGGATTTGTATGATTTTCTAAAATTATAACACTTTTCTACGATCTGGTATACGCGGAATGCATTTTTAAGTCTTCATTAAATGGAAACTCTTTTTACGATCTCTAGAGAAGGGAGATCTGTTTCTTTAAATGGAGTACATTTTACAGTCTTCTCTGAATGAAAGAACTGATTAAAGACTTTCTACCGTCTTTTTTCTAGGTTACTTCTTCAGGGTCAACTATAGCCAAAAGACATTCTACGGTTTTTTGAGACAGAAGATCCTTTTATGGTCTCTATGGTGATAGAAGACGATTTCAGGGTCTCCTATGGAAGGGAGACTTTAAAGGCTATTTTCGATGTCCTCAATATTTAGGGATGTCCTGTATATATCCTTTTTTCAGTCTACCGTTGATGAAAGACTTTTAACGGTCTTCTATAAACAGAAAATCTGACGTTACGGTCTTCTACAAGCGAAGCAATTTTTACGATAGTTATTTTATTGATAAAAGAACCTTTCTTTAAATATGACGCCTTTCTATGACCTTCTTTGATTAAAATACTTTTTACGTTCTTCTAAAACAGAACACATAAAGATAGAAGTATATATGGACATATTTTTATAATCTTCAATAGACGGAGACACTTTTTACGATATTCTATAAAGGAGAGGACTTTTTAGGACTTCCTTAAATAAATTATATTCCTGCGTTCTTCTATAAATATAAAAGCTTTTAAAAAGAAAATCGTTGCCGTCTGCTGGTGAAAATGGATTATTTTTTATTTTCCATTGGTGGAAGACATTTTACAGTCTTCAATGGATAAAATAGCTTTTACGGTCTTTTTTAAATGTCACACCGTTTGACACTCTGCTATGAAATACCGTTTCACGATATTTTATGGAAGAAACTACATTTTTCTCTAGATAGAAAATATTTTTACGATCTCATATATTTATTTTACCATTCCCCTCCTTCTCTTTCAGAAAAAACAACGTTTAATTAATTACGCTGAATTTACTCAACTGCTTCATGATTTCCATGAAGAATATGCGATGGAAGCATTCCGTAGCAAAGATCCAGCTGGTTCTGGATACATTTCCCCCTTAGATTTTCAAGATATTATGGTTAAAGTGAAAAGGCATTTACTCACAGCCGATGTTAAAGATAATTTGGTAGCGGTAAGTTGTGGCAAATGTTGTTGTATTTAACAGTGTTATTGTATTATCCTGCATTTTGTGGGAAACACAAATATGTGTGTTTCGATCGATCATTTACCTTGTATTTCATAACTCATTTTGAATCAAAAAACACAAAACAAAACTCGATTCTTGTCTTCCAGGTCACCGAAGGCCATAAGGTAAGCTTTCCATATTTTATGGCTTTCACGTCGTTACTAAATAATATGGAATTGATAAAACGCATCTATTTACATGCTACACAAGGTAATCGCACCGAGCCCGTTACCAAAGATGAGCTACTGTTTGCCGCTCAGACCATGAGTCAAATTACTCCATTGGAAATTGATATATTGTTCCAGTTGACGGGGGCATTGCAACAGTCGGGGTAAGTTTTTAATAGAAAACTTGATAAGAAAAATATTTCTCCCCGTCATGTAGTAAATTCGTGTGCATATAAAAAATCTTGAAATTATTGAATTTAATTCTTATGTCATTCAAAATTTTGACCCAAATCTAGTCTATAGTTTCAAAATCATTCCTTCATGTTGTATATAAAATGTAAAAACCTAGTAATTAATTATTTGTAATTTGTTTTTCTTGTATAATTTTTTGTCTTCCCTTTCAAAATTCATTTACACAAAATAAAAACAAAATACAAAAATATCACAAACATAATTTCAAAACAAAAAAAAAGTTGGTGGAGACGTAAAAAAGTCCAAGCAAGTAGGCAAGTGTCATAAAACAAATCTCTTTGTTTTCGTTTGATTTTGCACTCTTTTATTATGATTTCGATCTATTCTGTTTCCACAAACCAGAGTTTTGAGTCCCACACCTACTTTCCCACCACGTCCTGATTAATTGTATTGTTTTACCTTTCTTTCTCGTTCATTTTAGCTATTTGAATTATTTAATTTTGTTTTGTTTTATATATTTTATATTAATTGAATTTTGTATTTCTTTTGCAGTCGCATTGTCTATAGCGATTTGAGTATTATCGCTCCAGAACATTATACGAAGCATATCACCACAAGATTGGCCGAAATCAAGGCTGTCGAAAGTCCAGCAGATAGATCAGCATTTATTCAGATTTTGGAGAGTACCTATCGTTTTACTTTGGGTTCATTGGCTGGTGGTAAGTAGAACAATTAAATATTTCGCAAGAAGTGTTATTACATGCTTGGATGGAAATGGAAAATATCAATATCCTATAATAGGTTGAAGTGTTTCTCGATATGTGGTGGCATATCGAACAATTCTGTTTTATCTAGTTCTGATTCGGCCCGAATCTCTGCTGAAATTTTCGATTCTGATTCCGAATTCATTTCGATTAGGGTACAAAAATTCTATAGACGTGGTAAATAAAGTCGGAAAGTTTTTTTTTTTAATCGGTCCAATTTATAGAATAAATTTAGAGAAATCAAAAAATTCAAAAAAAAAAATAATAAGTAATCATAAACATATTAAAAAAATCGCAACCATTATCAGTACCTTTTCGTACCCGTATAGGACGAATTTTAAAAAATCCAACTTCATCTCACTCCATCCCCTAACATCACTCCCCTCCCTCACATATTTATACCCTACAACACTATGTGTTGGGGGTATTATAAGTTTGATTGGGCCAAAAATTATGTAACACCTCGAAATATTGGTTTCCCACATAGGAAAGTATATATGGATCTTCCTAGCTCGCCGAGCTGAGTCGATCTAGCTATGTATGTCCGTCCGTCCGTCTGTCCGTCTGTCCGTCTGTCCATGTTAATTTGTAATCACTCTACAGGTCGCAATTATGGCCCGATCTTCACGAAATTTAAAATGTAGGTGGGGCTTGGACCAGAATAGAACCCTATTTCTTTTGGAGATGATCGCCATATGTTTAGGGGTTAAAATGGACCAAATACTGAAAAAATGTCGGATTTTGCAGTATCTATACAGGTCGCAATTATAGACCAATCGACGCGGAATTTCGCATGTAGCTAGAGTTTAGGGCGGGGAAGAAGCCTACCAATTTGGGTGGTCATCGGATAATATTTAGCGGCTAAAATAGACCATATCTTTTTTGTTGAAAAAATTCAAAATTTTTCATTAAACCGCGAATATTTTAAATCCCGGGGAAATCACAAAGCCATGACAAGGTTACTTCTGACCTTTACATTGATGTTAACATCCAACAAAACGGATATATAGCAAAATATGTGCGATATATATGTCTATCAAAGAAGATATGCTTGAAAAATCTCTTATATGTCGAGAATGGCTGAACTGATTTCGACATTTCTCATTAATTCAGAAATGCCTCTTGGCAGGAAAGAAAAAACGTCTAAAAAAATCGCATAAAAATATCTCTCTAAAGATGAAAATATTGATTTTGTAAAATTTTCTCATATTTTTTCAATTTTGTCATATTTTTGGCATATTTTCATTTTGAATTAAACATTTGGTAATATTTCTACAGCTAACAAAACTAAGTAGTTAGGATATCAGGATATCATATACAGATCTCATTTATGGCCCGATCCTTACGAAATTTTGCATGGGGATAAGATGAGGGTCAGAATAGAAGCCTACTCTTTTTGGAGATGATCGCCATATATTTAGTCAATTTCAGTCATATTTCAGTCAAAAATCAAAAATAAATGTTAATCTTTTGCCACTTCTGAGAGGTTATAGGTCTTTGGGAAATATTGGTTCCAGATCTAGGAAGACCATTTACGTGCAACTTCTACCAATAAATTGGAAATGAGCAAATTAGTTTAAGTTGCTATTATTCGAAAATTAGAGAACGAAACCTGATGGTTTTCTTTTATTATTTGTCACAATATCTTGTGGAATTCTGTCGAGTATTTCGCCTATATAAACTGTATGGTTTATTATAGTGTTGTAGGGTATTCAACGGTCGGCCCCGCTCGACTGTAGCCTTTGCTTACTTGTTTATAAAAATATAGATGATATAGTAAGATTTTTGATTTTTTTGTATGATATCAGAAAGGATGGACTTAGATAGATGAAAAAAAACTTTGTTTTTTTTTTTAATTTTATTGATTGAGAGCAAAACATGTCGGAAATAGTATCAACTTTTAGAATAAGTTTAGATTTGGTCAAATTGGTCACCTTTGGCACGAATTATGGCCTTCAAACGGCCACTGAAACCGTCACACGCTGCCCGAATGTTGCTCTGCGGCATTTTGGTCCATTCCCGGCGAAGAGCTTGCATGAGGTGATCTACACTTTGGTATTTTTTAGTGCCAACTTTGCTTTCTAAAATACTCCAGACACAATAGTCCAACGGATTGGTATCCGGTGATTTATGTGGCCAATGTGCGCTGGAAATGAAGCGAGAAACCTCACTTTGTAACCATTCATGGGTTGCGCATGTTGAGTGCGATGGTGCTGAGTCCTGTTGAAATTTCCAAGGTCTGCGGCTAAAATGTTTACGTGTCCAAGGCTTTAATACACCCTCGAGAATATTTTCGCTATAATATTCGGCGGAGAGCGACCATAGGCTGTTATGGCGACCCACACCATCACTATGGCCGGCGCTTGAGTTCTGGTGGCCAACCGAAGATGCACATTTTCAGCTGACACGATAATTTTGTTTGTTTACAAACTGCTGGACAACAAAATATGTATTCACATTTAAATGCTGGAGTGCTCTAACGATAGCCACTTGAGGTTTTCTAGCCAAATATAAATAAATTACATTATCACGCTTGAATTCCATCACGAATAACTTTTTTTCTGGAAAATTGTGACTTAGAAATAAGAAAAGAGTTGCTTAGAAATAACAGCAGTCTGAAGTTGGTTGCAGTTTTTTCATCTCACCCGTTATCCCGTTTATTGGCGGAGGCAAAAGAAGAAGCGGCTCAATATTGTTCATTTTCGCACCTGACCTAAATCATAAATCATATCTGAATATCCCGATGTGCCACAATTTTAATTTTTTCAGGTACTTCCGTCGTTCCTTTTTTTATAATCTTTAACTTATCCTTGTAAGGTACGCGGTACCGTAAAGTTTGGATCAAATCGAATACTTCCTTCGCGAGTTATCGTGCGCACCAGCCAGACAACCTGTGATCGACTCTAAATATCCTAAAACAGATTTCGTACAAAGAGACCTAGGGCCTAAAACCGGTTTTCCGATGAGGCATATTTTAGTCGTACAAATGATAGATGTCCTGGATACATAGGTTATAAAAACTGTGATGTGAAAAAAAAAAACTTTAAAATAATTCGGATATTTCTCACTCTATAAATTAAATTTTTTTTATTTTTTTAACTTTTTTGGGGACGTACTAGTAGGAGTGGGCTTATATTGTCCATCTTCGACATATTGAAAAACATGTAACCATTTGCAAGTTTTGGATTAAGTCGGATATCCTTTCGATACCCAAAGGATTACTCATTACAAATTTGGTTACTTAGTGCGAATATAAAACTATTCTTTAACCGTCTGGAGACCGGAGGAAAGAGGTAGATCTTGAAAAAGGAAATGGCTACCCAATTTTATAGACATCACGCTCCCTTTGAAAAATACCTTCTTCACTTTACTAGGCGTCTTGGCTTCCTATTTTTAAAATATCAGTTAAGACGAGTTTGAGGTTTGACTTGACTAATAGGTCGGCACCATGGCGAGTCCTGCTGGTGTACTGAAATTCCATTATTATACAATATTGCTAAGGAACAATATTGCTAATTGTTTGAGTTTCATATCTCGACGACAACTCAGCCAATGACACCCATATAGATAAGGATGTTTCCTTCAATTGCGGTACAGATACAAAATAAGAATCCCTCAGAGAGATTCCCACAATGCAGAAAAATTATGAGCATATACTTTTACTTTGATGCATATGCACTTTACCTGCCTGTAGAGATACGTTGTTTCAGATCAATCCATTAGACATAAAATAAATATTGTGTTGCAATGATTTCGGTAAGATGATGCACTGAGAAAAAATTTAACCGATCGGACTGACAACTTAATATTAAATTTCAATTGAAAATCAAAAAATAAATATCCTTCTTTACAGCCGTTGGTGCCACTGTGGTCTATCCCATCGATTTGGTCAAGACACGTATGCAAAATCAACGCACAGGCTCATTTATTGGTGAAGTCGCCTATAGGAACTCATGGGATTGTTTTAAAAAGGTAAATATACTTTCCCCAAATTAAATCGTGGTGAAATTTCCAAATTTCCTAATATTTTATAGGTTATCCGTCACGAAGGTGTCTTAGGTCTATATCGTGGTCTCTTGCCCCAGCTGATGGGTGTGGCACCCGAAAAGGCCATAAAATTGACAGTCAACGATTTGGTACGTGATAAATTCACCGATAAACAGGGTGTCATACCCAGATGGGCTGAGGTTTTGGCCGGTGCATGTGTAAGTTTTCCCACCAATTTTGCAAATTAATATGGGTTTGTAATGTTGTTGTCCGTTTTGACATTTAGGCTGGTGGCTCTCAAGTGGTATTTACCAATCCATTGGAAATTGTTAAAATTCGTTTACAAGTGGCTGGTGAAATTGCTGGCGGTGGAAAAGTTCGTGCCTTATCGGTTGTACGTGAATTGGGTTTGTTTGGCCTGTACAAAGGTGCTCGTGCCTGTTTATTGCGTGATGTACCATTCTCGGCCATTTATTTCCCAACCTATGCTCATACAAAGGCCTTGTTTGCCGATGAAGATGGGTGAGTGTCGTAAATGTTTTCTTTTTCAGCATTTCATTGAATGTGGCAAAAATTGTTTGTTTAAATGGACTTGGAATGGATCTAGGATTGTCCTTTCTCGAGATATGGGGTTGTTTGTTCCAACCTATATAAGCCGTAATATTTTGACCACATTATATTATGTTCGAAAAAGTATTATGTGGATCCACTGCTTTTAATTTACAATGTTGGAAACCCCCAATTAAGGTTAACCTAGCGTGGAGTAATATTTTTTTTTTCACGTAGATCTTTGGAATATACCAACCCACTGCTTTGAGAACACAAAAAATTGGATAATTTAATCTTTTAGGGAGTTTCCGATTTGTTCCTACCTTCTAATTATACCCTACAACACTATGTGTTGGAGGTATTATAAGGTTGATTGGGTCAAAAATTATGTAACACCTCGAAATATTGGTTTCCCACATAGGAAAGTAAATAAGGATCTCCCTATCTCGCCGAGCTGAGTCGATCTAGCTAAGTCCGTCTATCCATGTTTATTTGTAAACACTCTACAGGTCGCAATTATGGCCCTAACTTCATGATATTTAGAATGGAGGTGGGGCTAGGGCCATAATAGAAGCCTATCGGACCAAAAAATAAAAATCCTGATTTTGCAGTTGCTCTACAGGTCACAATTATAGACCAATCGACACGGAAGTTAGCATGGGGCTAGAAATTTGGGCTGGGCAGAAGCCTTCCATTTTGGATGGTCATCGAGTAATATATAGTGGGTGAAATAGACCATAGCATTTGTGTAAAATAAAAGTCAACTTTTCCATTAAACCGCGAATATTTATAATCCCGCCGAAATCTCAAACATACAAAGAGTTAAATCCTGACCCTTACGTAGATCCCGATAGTAGATATATCGAATATATATATCGCCAAATATATACAATGTGTACATACAAAGGAAAGGGAAGTTAGCTAGAATGCTTATATCTCAAGAATGGCTAGACCGATTTTGACAAATTTTGTCAATTCAGACTGCGCTCTTGGTATAAAAGTATAAAATCTAAAAAAATCGCATAAAAAGATGACAATAATCATGGAGGTAGAACAGCTTCGTAAAACTACAGAATTATAGGCCTGAGGCTATTCCCGCTTTCTGTCAGACTCATTCAAAATTATATACAATAAGTTGTTTTAATTTTTTCATATTTTTCCTCATTTTTAAAATGAGTTAAAAGCGTGAAAAATGAATGAAATGCCTGGATTCTCTCAAAAATATGATCCAAACTGTTCAATCTTTCAATTTCATGGCTAAACTGGTTAATAAGTTTAACGCGAGAGCCGCAATATACGTGTCTTCCAATCATTGGTTTTGAATTTATTTCTTTTTCACGAAAGTCGAAATTCACGAAATCTCGCATGAAGTTAGAGCTTAGACAGCGGGTAGAATGGAGAACTACTTTTGTGTGAAAAAATTCCAAAATTTCCATTCTAGACAAGCAAATCATATAGATGAGTCTAAATTTAGAGATACAAAGGGGCCTCTTTCCTGATCACACAATTGAAGGCAATCGACATGTCTGAGAAGAGAGTTAAGGACAGGGAAGAATTCTAGCATTTTGGATGAACATTGGATTATATTTATCTCTAAATATTGTAATATTGCGCAAATGTCCCTGGTCAAGAAGCTAAGGGTAATGTCTGGGCTGTGCTCCATGACATAATTTTAGTGCAAACCCAGCCTGTCATAATAGTTCCAAATATAATCATAATTGTCGTATGTCGACTTGGTTAACATTTTCAACACCATGACAAGTTTTTTTTTTATCAAGTTTAAATATGTTAATATATGGCTCAATGTCGCGAGTTATACTAGCAGTTAAGCTTATATCTCCTGGTTTTAATGAGGTTCCATTAGAATACGGTCGAATTCCTAATATTAGATTTCCAATGTCCGATTTCAACAGTCATTTTTATTTAACACTATCAAAATCAGTCCAAATCTAATCGTTTCTTGATTTCTCCAGCTACAATCATCCTCTAACCTTGCTGGCGGCTGGTGCCATTGCTGGTGTACCTGCTGCCTCCTTGGTAACTCCTGCCGATGTGATAAAGACCCGTCTACAAGTTGTGGCACGTTCCGGACAGACCACCTACACTGGTGTCTGGGATGCCACAAAGAAAATTATGGCTGAGGAAGGTCCACGTGCCTTCTGGAAAGGAACAGCCGGTAAGTTCGATATTTTTTGTTTCAAATTAGAAACGTTTACATTCATTGTCCTCTCTTCCACACACAGCCCGTGTCTTCCGTTCATCACCACAATTTGGTGTTACTCTAGTTACCTATGAATTGTTACAACGCCTCTTCTATGTAGATTTCGGTGGTTCCCATCCCACTGGCTCTGAAGTGCACAAGCCCAAGCCCATTGATACAGCATCCAATGTGCGCATCAATCCCGATCACATTGGCGGTTATCGCGCTGCAGTACCTTTGCTAAATGGCATCGAATCGAAGTTTGGTCTATTCCTACCACGTTTTGGTTTTTCACAACAGACACCTGCCTCGGGAGCAAGTAAAAGCTCCTCATGATGACGATATCGTAGTTTATATTAAGTTCTCTTTGATTTCTTTTGTTGCTTTTTCGTTATGCCAGTTTCAATTCAGTTTGAAAGTTCAATTTTATTTTTAGTTGAGTATGAGTCATAATTCTTGTTGTGTGAAACCCATGGGCCTCTCCTTCCATGAAACAGGTTTTTCAGAATCCACATTGTGGAAGAGGAAAGGTCGAATATTTAAAAATTGAGTTAGAATTTGTTTCTTGAGTAGATTTTTGTTTGAGGAAAACAGTTTCTAAATTATTGAGGAAATAGCATAACAATCATCACAACCACCCTCAAGACGAAACAAATGCTAAAGAAAAATGCAAGGAAAATCCAAAAAATATGTTCGTGAAATTTAAACAAACAAAAAAATATTCGTAAAACAAAAAAAAAAAACTTACAAAAATACAAAGTAAAAATATATTTTTTGCTAGGAAAATTATTATATTTCAAGAGAAACATAAAAAAAACATTTAAACTTAACTTATTTAAGTAAAACAGTTATTAAAGTAAAATCTAGTGAAAAAAAGCAAACAAACAAAAAATCACACACAAATAAAACAATTTTGTAAAACCAATTTTAGGGGTTACTTTTTTTCGAAACAAAAGCAAATCTTCAACTAAGAATTAATAATTTTTCTTATTCTTAAATATCTATAACTTCTTTTGATTTACCAAAATGACAGTAAATAAAAAATAAACGAACTCAAATTGAATTTTTTAGCATTCATACACACATATGTTATAATTATGCCAACTGATCTTTTTTTTGTTAGTATCAATAATAAATTAATTTATATAAGAAATTTAAATAAATAAAATTGTTGGAAAAACCCACATTATCATTCTACACATTTCATTGATATAGTTTATGTTTTTTAATTAAATACATAATAATTTTTACAATTTTTTTTTAATTTTATTTAATGATAGCAAAAAATGTCGGAAATAACTTCAAATTTTAGAATAAGTTTTATTGGCCTTCAAAGGCCAATGAAACCGTCACACGCTGCCCGAATGTTGCTCTGCGGTATTTTGGCCCATTCCCGGCGAAGCGCTTGCTTGAGGTGGTCGACACTTTGATATATTTTAGTGCCAACCTTGCTTTCCAAAATACTCCAGACACAATAGTCCAACGGATTGGTATCCGGAGATTTTTGTGGCCATTGTGCGCTGGAAATGAAGCGAGGAACCTCATTTTGTAACCATTCTACGGTGGCGCGTGCCGAGTGCGATGGTGCTGAGTCCAGTTGGGGTCTGCGGCCAAAATGTTTGCGTGCCCAAGGCTTTAATACACCCTTCAGAATATTTTCGCGATAATATTTGGCATTTATTCTGATGCCACCATCACAATGGCCGGCGCTTGAGTTCTGGTGGCCAACCGAAGGTGTACATTTGCAGCTGACCTCTTTGGCAAGTAAACACGATCATTTTGTTTGTTTACAAACTGCTGGACAACGAATGCTTTCTCATCGGAGAAAACCAATTTCGGCCAAGTGAAGCAACTCTTTAGCTCTTTTGAGTCTATTTTCTTTCTGTTGTGGTGTAAGTTTTTGCACTTTTTGGAATATCACGAGCTCATTTTTCAGTATTTGCCGAATGGAATTTTTTCGATATGTTCAGCTCACAAGCCATATTTCAGCCTCTGCGACGCGGGTTTCGATCAAGTCGCTTCTTTACTTTTCAAACAATTTCTGCCGATGTTGCTGTTTTCTTCCGTCCACTTCCTTGACGTCGGGCTACGCTACCAGCATCACGGTAACAAGTGATTGTACGAAACACAAAAGATTTATTCACATTTAAATGCTAGAGTGCTCTAACGATAGCCACTTGTGGTTTTCCAGCCAAATATAAAGAAATCACACCATCAGGCTTGAATTCCATCGCGAATAACTTTTTTTCTGGAAAATTCTCACCAAAATGCTTTTGTACGCTTGTAAACAATATAACGAGCTGTCACTGGAAAAAGTTTAACAGCTGTCGGACGAGTGGCTTAGAAATGACATGATGGCGAAAAGATACAACTAATTATCTTCCAAATCAGATATGAGCTATGTGTTACCGTTCTCGAAATAGGCATTAGTTAAAAAACGTAGTACGCTCTGACGATGTTGAATTTATTTAACTTTGAAAATTTAATAAAATTCTTATTTTCCAATTTTGTAAAAATAACATCGACAGATACCGTCAAATTTTAGATAAGGTTGTCAAATATGTTATTTTGTTGTGTACGAAGTTTTGGGTTAGGTTATTTACATGTAACATTTGGAAGCCTTCCTATCAACAGAGGAACCTTGCATTGCAATTCTTCTAATGAATGTCTGTAGAGCATAAATACAGGCTCCTTTCGCATCTTAGTCCGCAGTAACATGCCTAGAAAAAAAGGAAAGTAATGTGGTTATTTTTAAATTAAAAAGAAAATACTTTTTTTTACTTTACTTTGTGAAAATCATTGAATTTCCAAAATATCACAGATCAATTGAAACACATGAAAACCTAGTTGAAAAACAATTTAAATTGGAAATTAAGTCTTGCATTATCTTAATTTAATAAATTACTTACACCAAATAATACAAAACTGTTTACTTTCTTGTCAAAGGTAACCCCACAACTAATAACTAAACAAATATTTTATTAATTAAATAATAAAACAACCACAAAACGAAACCAAATTATTGGAAATAAATCAATTGTTTAGTGAAAAATCCATAAAAGGTATCAACTTTATATGAAAATTTAAAAAAAATATAGAATTTAAGAAAAACAGAGTTTCTTAATACCAAAAACAAAAAAGAATTATATATTTATTCTTTTTATCACAAAACAAAAAATAACAAAATAAATCCAATACAAGTACGAAGAATAACACTTTTTATTATCTTGCACTGTATTAGAAAGAAATGATAAAACACTGCAAACAAATAGATTTATTTAATTAATTTATCTGAAAAAAAAAAAACAAAAAACAAACACAACTCAATATAAGAAGAATATACATATTTATTATATAAATAGTGAAAAAATTAAAACAACAAACAAAAACTCAATAAAATAATACAATACAACACACTGCTGCCGCCCATTCAAAAAAAAAAGTGAAAAACGAGGAATTCAAATTTGATACCCACAAACACAGGATCCAAACATCAACAACAACGACCATGGCTGAAATATTTTGCTCCTTATATGAAGAAGGATTCGGCTGGGTTTCTCCGTTTATTGTTGATTTGATGTTTGTCGTTTGTACAATGCCTAAGTATTGTTTGCAAGTTTCATTTACACACACCAACATATACAATTGAAAACAAATTTTATTATTTCGATTTTTTTTGGCATACATCTATTTGTAATAGAAGATTCTCAGTCAACATATTTTTGGAAATTATCCATATTGAAAATAGGTAGCCTAATTTTTTGTCCCCTTTTTTTCTATAAAAAAAGAAAGTAAAAAACAAAACAAAAAATGCAAAATACTTTAAACTGTTGATAACAAAATAAATCTTTAAATAAATTAAATATAAAATAAAGAAAACATATTTTCATTAAAAACTGATTTTGGTATTTTTTTAATATTTTTCATAATATATGGTAAGTATTTTTGTACTCGGAAAGTTCAGCGATAAAAATGGCCGTATTTGAAGCAAAAAAAAATTTTTGAAGATTTTGAAAACTTCTTTCGAAATATGAGTATGACCCCATCAAGGACCGATCGCCTCCTACTTGACAACATTGAAGAAATTCCAGTTTTTGTAAAAAAAATCTGAACTTTTAACAGGTTCCCAGTAATACCAGTTGCACAATCATCATCTAATTTTTTCTTCTTTTAAATTCTTATCCACCCACCACTCAACAAAGTTCGAAAGATCTTTCAAAAATTAGAAAAATCCACATTGTTTATCAGGCGCTCAGACTTGCGCAATATTCTTTTAGCTTTGAAGGCTTGGTCGAATTTGATTTTTGGTTAACTCTAATATTTTTTAAGCCGTGAGGTAGGCGGTGGTTAGGTAAAACAAACAACATTTTTGCTTGAAAATTTTCAATTGTTAACAGACACTCAGAAACACCAAATTCATACAAAGTGGACGTCTAATAAACCTAGACATTCAAATATTTGATATTAAATATTAACTCACTCGTGCAGACTCTCTATCTCTGTCCCTCTCCCATTTTTTCGGCATGCAGCTCTAAAGAACAGAAAGAAATGCAGTTAGATTTTATTAGGCTTTATAATAAGTCTATGTCACAATAAGGAGATGATTTTTACAACAAAATTGCATTGGAATTTATAACAACAAGTTACAAGTCTTCGACTAAGTTACCTACCAAAAGCAGGTCCTCTTTGGGCTCTTGGTAAAAATCTATTAAAAAACTCTTGCTTGCTGCTGGGATCCTATGACCACACAAAAAATGATCTTTTTTTTTGGAAAAATTAATCTTTTACCAGGCACCCAGGATTTTGCACTTTTGTCGAATTTAATACTACTAACACTAAGACCGTTATGTGCGCCTAGTTAAAATCAATTAATATGTACGTACGTTAACTTTAATTATTTTTAAGAGGTGAGGGAGGGGTATGTAATAATAAATAATGTAAATGGAAAAATTGCAATTTCGTTTGGCAAAAATCTTGACTTTTAATAGGCACTCAGAAACACCAAATTCCTAAAAGGTGGACATGAAATAATGCCATACATTCAAATATGTATGACTTAGATATTACTACTCACATATACATTTTCTTTTTCTCTCTCTCTTTCTCTCTTATCCATCCTGTACTAAGCTCATACGAATTCTCAACGCAAAGTGGCCTACCAAAATCAAGGCTTATTTGGAAGCCTGGTAAGAATGCATTAAAATGTATAAACATTTTTGTTTGCTGCCTGAGATCATTCAATAAAGTCAGATTTGATTGATATTGGATAAATCAATATTTTTACCAGGCACCCAGAATTATGTATTTTTTGTCAAATTCAATATTTTGGTAGATTGTTTTTAAATACTGCGTCACATTTGATATCCACATATTTATAAAGAGCCATTTTGCACGCCTAGTATAGTCGATTTAATATTTTTTGACAGTAAAGTCGATAGATAAGATCCCAATTCTTAACAGGTACATAGAAACATCAACTTTATAGTTTTTGAATACTTACCAGGCATTCAGAAGTTTGCAGATTTCAACATCCCCCCATTAAAATGATGTTTTTTTCCTGGGCGCCTGGTAACAAACTTTAATGATATATGTGTTTTGAGACCATTTTTTAAGTATATAGTTTTAAATATGTTTTTATATACATTAAGAATCCATCTGGTAATAAGAGAGATTTTACATTTTACTAGATTCTCATAACACCATATCTTTTATTGTTTAAAAAATAGTTCGCTTACTAAATTTAATGCAATTTTGGGCCCTTGGTATTAAGTTATTAAAATGTGTTCCATTTTTTGCAGTTTCAAGCGAGAATTTTTTTCCCGAGTTTCTCCATTTGGTAACAGGTACTCAGAAGCAGCCATTTCTTAACTGATGGATATCTGTAAAAATAACGTACTTAATTGTTTGGTTTTTTAAAATTTGTTTTACAAAATTCTAAAATTAAAGAATGCATTATAGGCGCATTTATATCGGACGAAATTCTGTATTTGTAACAGAGCTTAGGCCCTAGGTTCCTTTCCCTTTGGACCAAATCCGTTTTAGAACATTTGGAGTCGATCTAGAGGTGTTCGTCCGTCCGACTGTCTGGCTGGCTGCTGCGCACGATAACTCTCGAAGAGAGTATTCAATTTGTTCCAAACTTGGAACGTTGTAATATGATTGTCAAACTTAGTTCGAATGCGGAGTTGGGCAATATAGGTCCACTCCTTCTAGTACCTCCCCTACAAAGCGGTCAACATTTTGAATAACCATGAAGCTCGTGAAACACGAAATAACCATTCGATTATTTAAAACTAGGCACATCCCAATATTTCTATCAACAAAAGATCAGGTGTAAAGATGAAATATGTGGGTCCAAATCGAAGATCGGTTATATTGGTCTACACTTTCTGGTGCTTCCTCCGCGATGAGTCAACATTTTGAATAACCATTAAGCTCATAAAACTTCTAAATCGGCGCATTTCAATATTTTTATCAATAAAATATCTTGCGAAGAGGTGACAGATATTGGCCAGCTCCTTCTGGTACCTCCCCCACAAAGGGCCACCATTTAAATACCTTTTTCTCTCAGAACATGCTAAATAAGCAACGATTGTTAGTATATATAAAGTGCTCACTCAAAAGCTGTGCTAACTCATCCGCAAACAACCATTGGGAATACAGAATTACTAAATTTATTGTAGGTTTATTCATGTCCGATTGTCCGTCCGTCCATGTATATTTGTAAACAAAGTACATGCCGCATTTATTGGACTTTGACACATACGACCATATTAAGGTGGAAAAGGTATAGATATACCTATATCTTTCATATATAATGTTCATCCGATTTGTCATTTTTGTCCTCCTCAGTCGCAATATGCACTCCGCTACAACGATATTCGGGAAAATATATCAACTATAGCACAGAAATACCTTAAACAAATGTTATCGAGATCGGTTCAGATTTACATAATACTCCCTTATATATCTTTACTCGATTACAAGTTTATTGCGGACCAAAAAGTTAATATAGGTCCGAGCTGAATGGATTTTGGCACATACGAACGAATTCAGCCTGGACGAAAGTGTATCAGACTTTTTTTTTAAATCGGTTCAGATGTAGCTATAGGTCCCATATATATGTTTTATCCGATTTTGTATTAAAGTCCCTCACACCCGTAAAATCCTCACCGCAACAACGATGTTGATCCCATCTATCAGATAGAGCATCGAAATACCTCCGCTTAATGTTATAGATATCGCTTCAGATTTGAATTTAGCTCCCATACATATCTTCATCCGATTTCGCATTTATTGTGCATTAAAAGTGTAATATCAGCTCAAATATGGTGAATATCGGCTCAGTTCGTCAAATTTAGAGGAGATCGATTAAGAGAAGGATATACTTCATCCGATTTCGCGTTCATTGTGCCTTACAAATGTAATATCAGCTCAAATAAGAAGGATTTTCAAGAATATCAGTTCAGTCCATGAAATTTAAAGGAGATCGATTAAGAATATGATATACTTCATCCGATTTTGCGTTTATTGTGCCTAACAAGTGCAATATCAGCTCAAATAAGGATTTTCATGAATATCAGTTCAGTCCGTCAAATTTAGAGGATATCGATTAGATCCTTTACTTATTTAAAAACGATCGTAAATTCTCCATAAACACCTTAATTGTTGTTATTGTTATATTTAACAAAATCATAAAGTCAGGCCCACCCTACTTTGAGCCTTTCTTTACTGGCACTATTTGATTTTTGTGACCAGGGGTTTGTGGAGAAGGCACTAGAAGAAAGAAAATTTCCGGCCCCCTTATACGTCTGACACAATACAATGAGCGAAGTACCAGAAGGTAGCATATTTCCGAATCCGATCTAAGCCTGATAGAAGAGTTTCGATGTGCGAAAATTGCACCACATCAGATTTTACCTTCGAGAGCGATCGTGGACGATTGGCGTTGAATCGACTCCATATGTTCTTAAACGGATATAGTATAATGGAAACATTTTAAAATGAGTTTGAAGAATTTTCGAGTAAGTACATCATACCTTGCTGCAAAATAAATTTATAAATAGTTTATCTATACATTCGAAAATCGAAAAAGAGAATATTAATACATTGTATGACCCTCAAGTGCAAAGTTGACAAACGTTGCTGCCAAATGACTATAATTCTTCAGTTGCAAATATCCAACATTTCTGCTTTCTTTTATGCAAATACTTATTAGGGAATAATAAAAATTCTTCAAATGCATACCTCGACCCAAGCAAGACCAATATAAGTGGTATAACAGCTCTGTAATCATCTATGATTATTTCCAGTTCAGTGGGTGAGCGTATTTCTTTTCAAGCGTATAAAGAAACAATGCACTTTTTCTTTCACTTTGGTTCGGCAATGGACAACAAATGTCACTAAAATGCCATTCAATGCAATGCACTGAAGTCTCTGAAGAGGGCTTTGTCAATCATGTAGAACCACATATTTTTTAAAGACGACTCATCTTGAATTTACTCACTGACCAAACGACCACTAACCCTTTTCAATTTGAAAAACCTCTAGAAAGCACACGCTACCAAACCTTTCATTAACCATGTCCGGTCGAATGCAGAGTTTTTCAAGCAGAACTCTATACAAAAGAATATAAAAACGCCATACTTTCCTAGAAGAACTTTCAGTTAAAGTTCAAAGCGAATGTTAAACAAATTACGGAAATATCGGAATATTGACAACCAATGAAATAAGATTTTGTGATTACAAAATAATTAAGGACATCATGTTGCGTTACGGAAATAAATTGGAATACATTTTCATTTCAATCGTATTAATAACATTTGCATATGAAACATCAGCATCTCCTCTGCCCGGACTAAACAAAAAATATGAGAAAAACAACCATACCGGCTCATCTCAATTTTCTGGATTACAACAATTGAGAATTTTGCGTCATCTAATTAAGGAATGTGAAAATGTATGATTTGGTATAATTTACAGCAATATATGCAAGTGTGGTATGATAACGCGTGTTATTAAAGAAAAAAATCTAACTAAGAAACTGATGTATAAAATAAAATTTATTGTTAATAAGTGGATTCTAGTTCTGAGGAATCAGTTTTTATTATTTTATTAATGTGAACTCTTATAAAATGATATAAAATAAAACCGCCATTGTGAAATACAAACATATTTACAAAATATCTTATCTTATATCTAACTTATTCAAGGAGTGATTTTTTTAAAGCACATTAAAAATGTTGATAACATACATCAAAAGTTGTTAAAATATGTGTACAAAACTTTAAAAATACCTCAAATAGAACAATACGATAAAAAACAGTAGAAATAGATAAAACAAGTAAAAGAGCTGTAAGTTCGACGGTTCGAGCTTTGAATACCGTCCACCATTTGGAAAGAATTTGGAAAATTTCAAAAAAATATAATCCGCTAAAAATTTTGTTAAAATTTTAAAAATACCAAATATAACCATTATATCGGGTCATAACGACGATGTGGACCTGAATAGGCAACTTTTGTCATAAGCCATTACAATATTCAAATGCGAAACTTAAAAAAATCGTTGAATAATGTAGCTAAAATCATCAAAATATAGGAATATAGAGAGGTACCATTATATGGGGACCATACCAAAACGTGGACCTGCGCAGACAATTTTCTGTCATAGGCTGTGGTATCAAATAGGAACTTCAAATGTCAAATTTGAAACAATTCCGGTAAATAATGTCGCGAAAATCATCAAAATATCGAATATCGGGAGGTACCGTTACATGAGGGCTATACGAAGACGTGGACCTGCACAGACAATTTTCTGTCATAGGCTGTAGTATCCATTACGAACTTCAAATACCAAATTTGAAATAATTCCGGTAAATAATGTCGCTAAAATCATCAAAATAATGAATATCGGGGGTACCGTTACATCGGGGCTATACGAAGATGTGGATCTGCACAGACAATTTTCTGTCATATACTGTAATATCCATTTCGAGCTTCAAATACCAAATTTGAAACAATTCCGGTAAATAATGTCGCTAAAATCATCAAAATACCGAATATCGGGAGGACCGTTATATGGGGGCTATAGGAAGACGTAGACCTGCACAGACAATTTTCTGTCATAGGCTGTATCATCCATTACGAACTTCATATACCCAATTTGAAACAATTCCGGTAAATAATGTTGATAAAATCATCAAAATACTGCATTTCGGGAGGTACCGTTATATGGGGGCTAAACGAAGACGTGGACCTACATGGCCCATTTTCAATAGCAAAAGTCCTGCAGATATAATACACATTTGAGTAATTTTATATAAATTACTTCATTTCGTTCGGAAGCTATTTCCACACACGGACAGAGGGATGGACAACGCTAAATCGACAAAGAATTTTATGCGGCTCATATTTTGAGATGTTACAAACGGAACGACAAACTTAATATACTCTCCATACTATGCTGGAGGGTATAATAATAGTAACTTTACTTTAAACTTTAAACCCTCTTTGTTAAATTGGTTTATGGCCAAATCGACTGGTTTATTGTGAAAGTTCTGTTGTATGTGGGAATTTACTATGTTGAATATTTCCGGGGGAAATTAAAGCACCCACTGACAACCCAAACTGTCCTGACCTGATTTGGAGGGAAATTGTGACCGAAATCTTCAAAATACCGAAAATTAAGAAGTACCGCTCTATGGGATTGTACCACAAAGTGAACATATATTTTATATTTTTTTGCGAAGAGGTTAACTACCGAGCGGGAGCCTGTGAACCAACATAGCCCATTTCCAATAAAAAAATTTAAGAATACTACACAAATCTATGCCAAATTGAATTTATTTACTATGAAAATTGAACTATCTTGATATCAACATGCGGAATGACATCATTAAGCCCACTAAACAGTTAATGCTGTTCAAGACTGTATGTACTCTATAGTGTCCCCCACGAATATTTTGAGGTGTTGCAAAGGGACAAAGTATGAAATCCCATGATCATATTGTGGAGGATATAAAATGTATATACTCAAGCTAGACCCAATCCTTTATAATTCACAAAATAATGAGAGGGGCCAAATTCAATCACTACGAATTATGCAGAATGATCTCAAAATATATTTAAAAAAAGTCCACGGTTTCTTAAAAATATATGATATTGATCGCAAATCTCTAATATATTTTATAAAATGTCTTAGAAATCTATTCCATTCCATTTGTCCTTGAAAACAATTTTTTTAATAAATAGATTCTACGAAGAAAATCTTTAATTGTATTTAAAAAAATGATTTTTGGTCACGAAGTCCCCTGCTCAATGTCGGAGATATTAGGATGAGCAAAAATGGGAAAAGTTCGGAGATAGATGATTTAAAAAAATCCCTTTTTTTGGGAAGGCTATATTCGGGTATATTCAGCAATTTGATACGCTATAACCAACCCTTTTGGCCTAGGTGAACGGGTCCTTTAGGCATTGGTATATGTAACACAGGGAACAGGAAAAGGCGGAGCTACAAATAGAAGACATGTTTATAGGCGTTCTTAAACTCTATATCACAAAAGTAATCTTAATATACAGGGTGATATGAAAAAACTGCAACCGACTTCGGACTGCTGTCATTTCTAAGCCACTCGTCCGACAACTGTTAAAAGTATTCTAGTGACAGGTCATTAGCATTTTCCTGAGAATTTTACACAAAAAAAAGATGTGCACCTTCGGTTGGCCACCAGAACTCAAGCGCCGGCCATGGTGATTGTGTGGGCCGCCATAACAGGCGATGGTCGCTCTCCGCTCGTATTAATCGACCGTGGCATCAGAAAAAATACCGAATATTATCGCGAAAATATTCTGGAGGGTTTATTGAAGCCTGGGGCACGCAAACATTTTGGTCGCAGACTTTGCAAGGTTGGCACTAAAAGATACCAAAGTGTCGATCAGTTCAAGCAAGTGCTTCGCCGGGACTGGGCCTAAATACCGCAGAGCAACATTCGGGCAGCGTGTGACGGTTTCATTGGCCGTTTGAAGGCCATAATTCGTGACAAAGGTGACCAATTCGAACAGATCTAAACTTATTCTAAAATGTTATGCTATTTTCGACATTTTTTGCTTTAAAAAAAAGTTGCAGTTTTTTATCTCACCCTGTATATACGTCAGAAGTGTCTTTTTTGTTTCTGTATTAAATTATTTGTATGGAAATTTTGGTATTTTTCACACAAAATATTAAGCCCTTTAAGATTTAGCTGATAAGATGATTATCCAAAATGGTGGGCTTCTGTCCTGCTCCAACCTATAACTTCAAGCAAAATTTCGCTTCGATTGGTCTATAACCGTAACCTGTAAAGTAACTGCAAAATCAGCCAAATTTAATTGTTGGCCCATTTCATTACCTAAATATTTTTCGATTCAAAACACAATAGGACAGACTAAAGGATGGATGGACTAACACCAATTGGGTGTTACATACTGTTTGGTCCAACCAAACTTGTGTTTTTATTAAAAGTGCTTATACTGCAAAATATATCATTTCAGCAGATCTCTAAAGTTCTTTTTGAAATTAAAGATCCTAAAAAATAAACTGTCCATAAAATAAAATATTGCCTTGAAATATGAGACCTTAAAATACAAGTTCTCAAATATTTAAATAAAGAAGAACTACCACAAATAAAATCCTTCAAAAGGACTTCTAATAGAAGATTCCAAAAAAATGATCTACAAAAGAATACTCAAAGACTTTTAAAAAAAAGTAGAAGAGATTAATGTTTTGCATCACCTCAAAAAGCATTTAAATAGACAATAATAATAAATATAGACAATAATCTCTATAAATAGATACCTTTAAATTTTAGTCTATAAGTTGGCAATATCAAAGACTATTTAAAAAAAGACTTTTTAATAAACTTGAAGTATTCCATAAATTAAAGACCTCAAATTTACATTATGCAAAGGGAAAAAGTCAACATATCGCTCATTTACTCAAAAAGTGGCATAACTCTACAATAGGTTTTTTGAATTTAATTCATAAATTTTTCATAATAAATGTGTATAACGTACAATTAAATATTTTCCACATAATTATTATACCACACTAAGTTTTAAGAATAACATATCTGTGTAATAACATATTATTTATTACTCTATGTCAAATAAACATACACACATTCATATTTATACATACAGTCGTCATCGAATTCATCAGCCACAATCAAAACATGGCAATGTCTGAAGGTCACAAGTTTATATTTATTCGATGACGTCACATCGCGGGATGTGGTGCCCGTTTGGAGAGGTGTTCGATTTGTACGTCTATCGCCCAAAAAATCTAATTATGACGCTTCAAACGCTGAAAACGATTTGTATAATGAGTAAATATGTCAACAAAAAGAAATCGACTGTGTTTTAATTTGATCTATTTGTAGTAGTCAATTTTGGAAACGTAAGGATACGCAGTATCTGACGTGGTTTGATCGTTTGGCTTTGAGTTTTAGACGATTGTTGTGGACGCATAAGTTGGAAATCGATTTGAAGGAAGTGATGGATGCCTACATGGAATACAGGAAGGAAAACGGTACGTAGGATTTTTTTACTTGTATTTATGTAAATATAGAAAATTCATTTATTTAAACATTTCAACCAATCCCAGACTCATTAATTGTTTTCCTTTTCATTAACATTTGTTGATTTTTTGGGATCAATTATCCATATGAAGCTAGGCCTAATTTAGTGCATAGTTTTTGTGAGAAAATGGAGTTCATAGCTAGGTTTTTTTTATGAAAAAAAAACGTGAAAGTTTGGCTGCAGAATATAGATTTTGGAAGATATATACGTAATTGAAACTATTTCAAGAAAAACTTGTAGACTATATTATTATTTAATAGCAAAAAATATCAAACGACATATAGTATCATTTAGTACTTTTCGTACACTTAGTTTACGCATTTTCAAAAGGAGCTCTTACTATAATAAATTTCAACATTGCACCTTTATCCATTCACTCAAAACAATTTTTTTTTTCTAAAACCATGTACAGATTTCAAAGCAATATCAAAACCACTTCCCTAACTAGATTTTATTCTTTCCGTTCACATATTTCCAAATAGTACTAAACTTAATGCATTTTCGTACGTATGGTACACTTATTGTTCGAAATTTTCAAATACATTATGAGTCTATCCGCAAGGCGGAGGGTATACATCTGTCGCCAAAACCGACTGATACTTCTTATACCCTACACCACATAGTGGTAAGGGTATTATGTCTTTGTTCATTTGTTTGTAACATGGACAAGGAAGCGAGATAGACCCATAGTTACTTTGAGAATCTTCATAGAATCACTTTCTGAGTCGATTTATGCATGTTAGTCCGTCCATGTATTCTTGTGAGCGAAATGCAGGTCGCAATTATTATCCAATTGAGATGAAATTTTCCAAACAATATTTCTTTGGCCCAAAGACGAACCCTATCGAAATAGGTGATAATCGGATAAGATTTAGATATAGCTCCCATATATCTTCAATTGATTTCGGGTTAATTGTGCACCAAATGGCCAATATAAATCCAAATGACCTGAATTTTGGTACATCCCATCGAATTCAATCAAATCTGGAGAAAATCGGTTCAGATATAGCTCCCATATATATGTTTCATCCGATTGGGGTTTAATGTCCATCACATGCGCAATATGCACTCCACAAGAATTATATTTGGTACCGGCCATCAGATACAGCTCGAAAATACCTCTGTCAAATTATATCGAGATCGGTTCAGATTAGGATAAAGCTCCCATATATCTTCAACCGATTTCAGGTTAATTGTGCACCAAATAGCCATAGCACACAGTCAAAATAACCTGAATTTCGGTACATCATACAGAATTCAGTCTAGAAGCAAGTGCATCAAATTTGGTGAAAATCGGTTCAGATATAGCTATAGCTCCCAAATATATGTTTTATCTGATTTGGTGTTTAAGTCCCTCACACTCGTAATATACATTCGACAACAATGATATTAGGTACCAAATATCCTATAGAGCTCGGAAATGCCCCTTTCCAATTTTATAAAGATCGATTCAGATTTGGATGTAGCTTTCATGTATATCTTCAACCGATTTCGGGTTAATTGTGCACCAAAGGTCCTAAATTTTGGTAGGGCTATTATATATATATATATATATATATATATATATATATATATATATATATATATATTTTTTTTTTAATATAATGCTACTCGAAGTGATATAATGCACTCTATAGCAATGTTATTTAGTATAACAGATTAAAATGTCTTCCTCAAATTTAGTGAAAACCGATTTAGAGTTGGATATGCCTCCTATATATTAGTTATCTCTGAAGCCAAACCATAACTGCTTTAAAGCCAAATGTTGAGAGGTGATTTGATCTACTTCAAATAAATTCTTTTGTTATGGGAGCTGTGCTAAATATCCACGTAGTGGGTCCCCCCCGACTTTTGACTTTTCCTGACAGGGTTTTCTAGTTTTTTTTTCACATATGACACTTTTCAAGTTTGAGCTCTATATACTTAAACAATTCAGATAACCTGTCAAATTCTAATTCATCAGACCCCATTGGAACGGCAAGACATCGTCGACATCGTTACAATATGATGCTGACTATGATGTTTGGTGTAACAGCTTTCGGGGCTGTTCTGGTGCCAATGGGCTTCCAACTGCTGTCTGTGGTGAGCGGTAAAGCGTTGCTATTGGCGAAAATGGCTTTGCTCTTGGCTTCTATAAATGGTCTCAAACGAGTAAGTTTTTTCAACTAAAAATATATTTTAAAAAGAAATTATCTGCAACAATTCAAGTTCTTTATATTTTTGTACAATTGCAGGTGGCCAACAGTGGCCTTCACTACGGGCTCTATCATGTACCCGGTGAGCATTATGGTGGCTATTACGATCGTGGAGATGTACATCATCCAAGAAATGTACAAAACCTTTTGACACCGTCCAATCAAATGAGGGGAGTGCCTCTGGAAGTGGGTATTAGTGTTAAGTGAGGGGGTTTTGTGAAATAAATGGCTGTGCGCCCAAAACGAGAACAAAAATATGGCAATATGAAAAAAGCATTTTGTTTATAAGCTTTATGTAGTGGTTGAAAAACATAAATAAAAGCATTTAGTCAAGTTTTGAACCAAATTGAATTTTATTGTTGAGTTGTTGTGGGTGTTGTTGACTGATAAGGGGGTGGGTTCTAGAGAAGGTAATTATGTGCCAAGAATGGCAACAAGTGTTGATTTCATTCATAAAATTGTATTCAACAGTGTGTGTGCGTGCGTGCGTGTGTGAGTGTTCGTTAAGGAAGCTTTTATGTGAAACCATTGTATAAAAGGACTTGTCGGCAGGATAACTTCAACATTCCAACATCTGTTGGCCAAGTTAACGGTCGTCTTTGATTTCTCGTTTTGGCATTAGCTATTCATTAAAAAGGACAGCAAGTTTGAAATTGATTTAGAAAATAAAAATTGGCGTTAGATATTATTTGTGTGTCGTTCCCGCATAAATTAAATTTGAATATTTTTTTGGAGACTCAACTCAAAAGCAACAGATTTCCTTGACAGGACATCACCACTTTGTGTTTATCAAAAATTGCTAAGGCTAATAAAGTTATCTTGGCTTGTGTTTTGTTTTTTAACTACGAGTGGTCAGCATAGAAGAAAAACAACTTGGGAGAGAAGGATAGGAAAAAAACAAAAACGTGATACTTGAGTAAAATCACTTTCTTTCCAAAAAGTTTGAAATAAAAAAAAAGTCAATTTGTCAATTGATGTAAGCTGATGACATTATAACGCTGTAAAAAAGGTCTTTGAAAGTAATAAAAAAGTGTATTTGTGCGAAATTTTTTTTTTTTCTGAAACAAAATTGCTGAGTGTCCTTTTTCAAAGTGGACGAAAAAATTTGGTATCGAACTACAAGTGTGAGATTAATTAAATCCCTAATAACTCAATTCCAACCAACAAAAAGCCAAACAGAGGGTGAAATAATAAATCAAAGGTCTTGGGTTATTCTTCAATTCCATGTTGTAGAGTATGGCCGCATGTTACAACTTGTAAGATTAATATAATTTGTAAAGGATATTTGTAACAGTTGTCGTATGTCTTAATAATTAATTCCTTATCGTGCGTATGTTAAACGGGTGTTTTGTGTGGGTTTGCATAAAATCTCACGAAAATTAAGACACAGCCAGCCGAACAAAGTTTTCACATTAACACAAGTTGTTGTGGATCCTTTTAAGACACATACACAAATTATACAAAATTGTCCTTTGTCAAAATTTCGACAAAAGCCGTAAAGTCGTTTTTTTTGGGACCTGTCACAAACATAGGACAAAAGTCGTAGTTGTCAACAACAGCGGCGGCAGTGGCAACAGCAACAGCATCGTCACATCATCTTCGTCTAAATCTCAATCACTGTCAACTCGAAGATTTGAAGCAACACTTTCTGAACCAACATTTAAATAGATCGCATTCAAAATGAAAGCTGCTGTGGTATTCTTTTCATTGTCAATTATAGTGCTCAGCGTCACGGTGAGTATTTGAATATTTATGAGATGAAATGCTAATATATTTGCTAATTTTAAATAAGAATGCAATTTTTTTTGTCTGGAATGTTAATAATAAGTATTGTTAATTATTTATTGTTTATAGATATCCATTAAGTAAGCACTAATGGTAACGTGGAAAAAATTACAAACCTCAAATCGATTTTAAAATATTTACTTGCATTTAAGATTAGAAAATATTAAAGAAAAAACTAAAATTAAATTATGAGACAATTTATATTTAGTTTAACCTATCTATTTTTATACCCTACACCACATAGTGGTAAGGGTATTATGTCTTTGTGCATTTGTTTGTAACATGGAGAAGGAAACGAGTTAGACCCCTAGTTACTTTTGAGAACCTTCATAGAATCACTTTCTGAGTCGATTTATGCATGTCCGTCCGTCTGTCCGTCCGTCCGTCTGTCCGTCCGTCCGTCTGTCCATGTATTCTTGTGAACAAAATGCAGGTCGCATTTATTATCCGATTGAGATGAAATTTTCCAAACAATATTTTTTTGGCCCAAGGACGAACCCTATTGAAATTGGTGAGAATCGGATCAAATTTAGATATAGCTCCCATATATATCTTCATCCGATTTCGGGTTAAATGTGCACCAAATGTCCACTATCAGTCCAAATTACCTGAATTTTGGCACACCCAACCGAGTTCGGCCTAGAAGCAAGTATATCAAATTTGGAGAAAATCGGTTCAGATATAGCTATAGCTCCCATATATATCTTTCATCCGATTTGATCTTTAAGTCCCTAACATTCCTACTATGCACTCCACAACCGTGATATTTGGTACCAGATATAAGATACAGCCCAGAAATAGCTGTTTGTAATTTTATCGAAATCGGTTCAGATTTGGATATAGCTCCCATATATATCTTCATCCGATTTCGGGTTAATTGTGCGCCAAATGGCCGATATAAGTCCAAATGGACTGAATTTTAGTACATCGGACCAAATTCAGCCTAGAAGCAAGTATATCAAATTTAGTGAAAATCGGTTCAGATATAGATATAGCAAGCATATATATGTTTCATCCGATTTAGTGTTTTAGTCCCATACATTCGTAATATTCACTCCACAACCGTGATATTTGGTACCAGGTATTAGATGGAGCACAGGAATAGCTGTTTTAAATTTTATCGAAATCGGTTCAGATTTGGATATAGCTCCCATATATATATTTTCATCCGATTTAGGGTTAAATGTGCACTAAATGGTCAATATCAGCCCAAATCACCTGAATTTTCGTACATAAGACCGAATTCAGTCTAGAAGCTAATACGTAAAATTTGGAGAAACCCGGTTCAGAGATAGCTATAGTTCGTAAAATGCACGATAGAATTCGATAGATTTTGATTTTGTACCAAATATCTCATAGAGCTCTGAAATGCCCTGTATAAACCTTTTTACGAGAGCTCTACTAAATATGCATAGTGGTGTAGGGTATCATATAGTCGGCCCCGCCCGACTTTTGAGCTTTCCTTACTGGTTATATTTGGTGTTGCGGAATAATTATTAAAGCGCCTATGTATACGGTCAAGGCAATATAGGGTCTTAAATAATTAGTTCTAAGAACCCGGTTTTTTGATCTACAAATCCACTTGGACTTTTTCACAAACCAGACTGCAATCCGACAGTGAAATTATAAGAACAATTGTAGATAATTCGGAAAAGTGCTAAATTTGTCGAAAGTAAAGGAGATTAAAAAAAAAGAAAATAATGACACATTTTTATGGTACCTATTGAGTATCCACCTTTCTTTGGTTTGGAGACTGATAATGAAATTTTATCCCGAAGTTAAAAAAAAACGTAAACACATAATATTTATAATCATGGTTAACTTATGAAGGAAAACATTTAAAGTAAGCACATCCACATCTTCAATTTACCATGTCAAATTTCTCTGAATAAAAAACAGTTTCCCATCTCTGGTTTATAAACACACATGTAGAAAATGAAATTTTCCCAAATAAATCATTTTGATTTTTTTTTTGTAACATTGATGCAAAATTTTTCTACATATAAAGGGTGATTTTTTAAGAGCTATAAGAAAATTTAAAAATTTGATAAAATTGTTATTTGGATTGATAGTATGGTTATTATAATTTAATGTTTGGAGATTAGTGCATGCAAATGTTGACATTGACTAAGTTTCAAATGGTCTTTCCGCTTAGTCCAAATCTGGCATACTCTTCCAACAACGGCCGGTAGCTCTTCCATTGCGTGATCACGTCTGTATATGAGCTTTAACATAATCCCACAAGAAATAGTCTAAAAACCTTAATGGGAGGCACATTGACAGGTCCTGAACGTAAAAAAAAAAAAAAATATTCACCGAAATAAAATAAGTCCATTATTGCGTCGCATAATGGAAATGGAGATTTATTTTTTTTTTTGTAAAATCTGATGAAAAATATTTTTTTTTTTTGAGTCATAATTCTAAATATATGATTTGTAGGAAAAGTTTACACAAATTCGCCCAATTCAAACCTAAAATATGTTTTTCATATTTATAAATTCCTGGCGTTTAGATAAGATTTAGACTTTTGATTTAATCTGAGGCCTATATTTTATGACATATAATTTTGTACAATATTTTGACTTGCTACGATCCGCTTTAAAAGAATTGTTTAACCCTGTGTTGAAAAATGTACCCAAAATACCCCTATAGTGGTTTGCTTAATGATTAACATTTTCCACCAAATTAAACTTGTTGTCAATAACATCACCGCAGACACTATATTCCCAGAATGCAAGGAATCATAAACTGAAAATTGCAAAAAATGCGATATAAACTCTCAAAAACTTGGACAAGGTGAAAAGATTTAAAAAAGGACTGACGGGCCAAAAGGGGTTTCTCTTTAAAAATAGTGGATTTTTATCTTTAAAGGACTGTCTGTGGACTTAAAAATAAAAAAATATTAAACAAGTATAAATACCATTTGTTTTAATTTTTTTTTTTTTTTTTTTTTTTTTTTGAGGACTTTTCTTGGCTGCGTTAGGAATATTTCTACACCGTCTTCCAGAATAAATCGTGGCATTTCGAAAAAATAAAGACCTGCTGACATTAGTGGTTAAAAAATGTTCAAGTAAATCCCGAAAATCGTGCGCTTTTTAAAAGTCATTTTATTATCTCCTGAAAATCAATCCAATTTTTAATTTTTTTTGTATGACTTTTACTGTTATAAAAATATTTGTTAAAATTTTTTATTTTTTAACTTCTTCCAAAGTTTTATGAACATTTTCTTCTTACTAGATTAGGATTTTTTTCTTGTTTTTCCTGACAGTCGTGGGATTTTTAATATACAATACAGGGTGAGATGAAAAAACTGCAACCAGACTGCTGTCATTTCCAAGCCAATCGTCCGACAGTTGTTTTTCTAGTGACAGCTCAGTACATTGTTTACAAGCGTACAAAAGCACTTTGGTGAGAATTTTCCAGAAAAAAAGTTATTCGTGATGGAATTCAAGCGTGATACTGTGATTTCTTTATATTTGTCTGGAAAACCACAAGTGACTATCGTTAGAGCACTCCAGTATTTAAATGTGAATAAATCTTTTGTGTCTCGACCATCGCTCGTTACCCCAAGTCAAGGAAGTGGACGAAAGAAAACAGCAGCGTCAGCAGAAATGGTTCGAAAAGTAAAGAAGTGACTTGATCGAAACCCGCGTCGCAGTGGCCAAAAAAATGGCTCGTGAGCTGAACATATCGCAATATTCCATTCGCAAATATTGAAAATGCGCTCCAAAAGTGCAAGAACTTAAACCGCAACAGAAAGAAATTAGATTCAAAAGAGCTAAAGAGTTGCTTCGCTTGGCCGAAAGTGGTGAACTGCCGAATTTGGTTTTTTTCGTTGTCCAGCAGTTTGCAAACAAACAAAATTATCGTGTTTATTTCCCAAAGAGGTCAGCTGAAAATGTACACCTTCGGTTGTCCACCAGAACTCAAGAGACGGCCATGGTGATGGTGTGGGCCTCCGTAACAGCCGATGGTCGCTCTCCGCTCATATTAATAGACCATGGCATCAGAATAAATGCCGAATATTATCGCGAAAATATTCGGCATTTATTCTGATGCCATAGTCGATTAATACGAGCGGAGAGCCTTGGGCACTCAAACATCATTTTATAACCATGAATGGTTATAAAATGAGGTTCCTCGCTTATTTTCTCCGGATACCAATCCGTTGGACTATTGTGTCTGAAGTATTTTGGAAAGCATGGTTGGCACTAAAAAATACCAAAGTGTCGACAACCTTAAGCAAGCGCTTCGCCTGGAATGGGCCAAAATACAGCAAAGCAACATTCGGGCAGCGTGGGACGGTTTTTTTGGCCGTTTGAAGGTCATAATTCGTGCCAAAGTTGACCAATTCGAACAAATCTAAACTTATTCTTAAATTTGATGTTATTTTCGACATTTTTTGCTTTCTTTCAATAAAATTAAAAAAAAAACCTATAAATAATTTAAAAAACTTAGGAAATTCGCGAGCCGTTTAGGAAAAAACTTTAAGGATTTCCAAACAATCATGAAAAAAATTTCCTTTTTCTCCGGTGTTTGTGGGGCGCACCGAAATACGGTAGAAAAATATAAAAAAAACAACAACAACCCATTTCGGGTTGTACTGTTATATGGGTTCTAAATGTCCCATTTTCAATACCAAAAATTCCACGGACCTGACATATTTTTTAATGAAATTTTGCTAACCAATACATTCGGCACTACTTGCGAGATGTGGTTATTCTAAATGTACCTTTGATGGTGAAGTAGAGTGGGGAGTGGCCCGATTTTCCAGGTCTATGATTTTATTAAAATCATGTGGCAGGTACCAGAAAGGGTCAACCTTAGTATCTTAGGTAACACTAGATTTAAGTAGAATAGAATGTGCGAAGTTTTAAGAAATCGGAAATTATTCGCCTTTGATCTTAAAATTTTGTATGATAGTACTGTCCATTTGGTTTCAGACTTAG